CTATCATAACTTTAAAACTCATGGTATAGCAGATGAATATATTGTGAAGGAAGCATAGGTAGAACATGACAGCTGCAGAAATACAGCTGGTCCTTAATGCTGTAGTTCCTCCCTCCCTAACCTGTGCTGTGCCAGCACACTCTACTCTGCTATGTTGACTCTCCCAATCTCTTTGCTCTTCAAGTCTTTCTTGGTGCAAAATATTTTGCAGAGAAACCCTGAAGTATCTGAGAGATAACTGAAATCTGGTTTCGGTTTCGCAACCAATCAACTAGGGCATGCTGCTCAATATCTGTGTGTCTATTTCCCTTCTCCTTATCTCAAAAAGGCATCTGGGTGGCTCAGTCAGTTAAGCCGGTTAAGTGTGGGACTCTTACTTTAGGCTCAGGTCAAGATTTCAAGGTCATGAGATAGACTGGGTGTGGGGCTCTTACTCTCAGCGCAGAGTCTGCTTCAGATTTTCTCTCCCTCTCTCTCTTCCTCCCCCTCTCCCCTCAGTTATCCTCACATGTGTGCTCTCTCTTTCTTAAGTAAATAAAAAAATAAAAGAAAATCTAAAACAAAAGGGGGGTTCTAGTTAGAGATAAACTAGAAATAAGCTAGACAGAGTGAGATGTACCTAGAAGAAATGCACTCCACACAGAGAAAATATTATTGCTCAATTTTCTCCACTTACTGCTCCTTAAAACACTCTGGCCTTCTTTTTGTCTCTTTGTTTTATTAACAGAAATACAAAGAAAAGTCAAGAATTGGAAAAATGAGTAAGGAAATAGTACAGAGTAATGAGAAAAGTAAAAATTAACAAGATATTAGAAATAGTAATAAAAGAACAAAGTTGCACAGAGGCTATCATTGGAACTATGGCATGTGGCCAATTTTAATTTTTTATCTGGGAATATTTAATAAATTTCCTCTCTGAGATATGGAAATGAGAAAATTCAGTGTAATTATTAATTACATGCAAATATTTACATAAGTAGGAATTATGTTACAGGCTTGTTTTATTGATCATTAACTACTAATTGGAGAAAGACTAAGAATACCTCTTTGTTTATGTGACAGTTAAATAGACAGCATTTCTAATGTTTCAGAGTAAAGTAATAATAAAAATAGGATTCCTTTAGTAAAGTGACATCCCAATGTATTAGAAGTATACTTATTATAATACTGTGGAAGCTATAAAGACACAGATATTCAGTTTGGTTGAAATCACAGCTCTAGAGTCAGATGTTAATTGGAAACATCTATACAGCCACATTTTGGTAAGCTATTTGCTGTTTCTGTCTCTGTTTCTAATCTGCAAAATTGGACTAATAATTATACCTAATTCATAAAATTAAATTTGAGCTTCAGTTTGACATATTCTTTGCTATAAAATTTCCATAAAACCATTGAAAAACACGGTCTTAAAATTTCTTCCAACTAGAAGATATTAAGATGCCAACCTGATGCTGTGGCTCTAGGTGAACATCTGGGCACAGCTGTGAAGGGAAGGGGCAGCATATTTTGACAAGTTGACATGACCTACTTGTATAGCTGGGATTCTGGGACATTCAGCAAATGACATGTAAGACTGCTACTTCAGTCCTCACAGGCCTGTCCCCAGTGGTTAGAATCATTGCAGTGTTCTGCCTTGAAGACATTGAATAGCACGAGGTCAACTGAGGAAATGGTTAAGATACACCTCATCTGTGGTTTGACCTGTCTAAAGTTTTTTCACAAAGAGAAATACCTGAGTTGTTGATAATGACTATCAAGCTACACCTTATATACTGCTTCAAAATAGAGGCTAAATCTTCAAAAACACAGATATAGAAAAGACTAAAACATAACTGCTGTTGAAGTATGAATCTGGGGGGTGCCTGGGTGGCTCAGTGGGTTAAAGCCTCTGCCTTCAGCTCAGGTCATGATCTCAGGGTTCTGGGACTGAGGCCCGCATGGGGCTCTCTGCTCAGCAGCAAGTCTGCTTCCTCCTCTCTCCCTCTCTGCCTGCCTCTCTGCCTACTTGTGATCTCTGTCTGTCAAATAAATAAATAAAATCTTTTTTTAAAAAAAGCATGAATTTGGAGTTCTGACAGAATCTGTGTTTAAATCCAGTTTCTGCAGCACCTACCTATGTGATCTTTGTTGGGTCATATATCTTTGAGCATCAATTTTCAAATGTGAAATGCGAATGATGGAACATGTGTGATTGTCTTAATGGTTTGTACTAAAGGTTAAGTAAGATCATTTGAATAAAGCAGCTAGTAGAACGTCTAGAACAGAGGGTTTGCTCTGCAAAGGGAATCTCTTCTCCTTCACTTTGCATATCACATTACAAACCACCGAGGGTTTCTCATTATTGATATCACATTTCTGAACTGAGATGGAATTAAAGTAAGGGTTAAAGCCAGTCTATAGAAACAACTCAAAAATCAGTAGAAAAATGGGAAAAAAACCAGTCAATAATTCATTGTTCATTCTACATCATGTAGACTTAGTGTGTTTTTATAAAGCAAAATTGATTTTTTGTTTTGTTTGAATTCTTTAGTTGTTCTATTACTGAGTGTTTAGAAGCATTGAGTTCTCCAGTTCAGTAACCTGAAAGTTACAATAGATTTGGAACCATGTCAAAGTAGACTCTACTTCAAGTTCATACCCTCCAAAGGCCCGTATTCTTTGGAAAAAAAAAAAAAAAAAAGTTTTGCTTTCATTGTAAGCAAGAGTTAAAATAGTATTCTTCGAGTTTATTTAGCAGTTGATTGAATGATTAAATATGCATTTGAAGTAGCCAAAAATGAAATCATGTTATTGTACTAGGAAAAAAACCCTCAGATTAACACTGATTGAGTTTTAACAAATGAGTTGATTAGAGGAAAAGGAAAGAGGATCACAGTTCATCAAATGCAAGTTGAAGCCAGGTCCCTGGTTTCTCCACAGACCTAATGTACTCTTATCATACCACCTTGGGGGGAAAAAAAATCAATGACTGCATTTCTTAGCAAGAATACACTTTCTGATTAATGAATCATGCACTGAAACCACTGCTTTTTATTTATTTAGCTGTTCTTCCTTTCAAAGAATTTATATTAACTTTCTCTGAAAATTATGGAACATAATCAAAGTGTCATGCAAGTGACATTAAAGTGTGCATCAAAGGAGCAGCACAGATGATATGCGGTCAGAGACTAGGTTTGTACTGACTAGTTTAATTTCTGATTTTCTCTGCCATAAATAAGGACTTACACTGAAACTAACCCAGAAATATTAAAATATAGCAGAGTTCCAGGTAAGAACTAGGATGTACTCATAGTAGAATGGTAGAATTCAGCCAGGTCTAGGGAACCCACAGGAACAGGGGAGTTAAAAGAGAAGGCCATCATGCAGTAACAAGTCTCTGAAGGGGTTTTGGGTTGAGCGTTCAGATTAGAGCCCTGTGTCTGTGACTCAAATTTGTCATCTAGTGGCCACCAGAGACTCATGTAGGAGTCTTCGGAAGTAGCTGGAGGGGGAGGGGAAAGGAGGAGAGGGAAAGATTAAACACACAAAATTTGGAAAACAACACCAACCAAACCAAAACAATGGACTGTGCCTATTGTTTTCACTAGAAATTCTTTAAGGCTTTGAGGGTTCAGAACAATCTTTGACAACAAAAAGGATGGGGAGTCCTTTCCTTCCTCAACAGGGAATTGTGAAACATCAGTGTGAGGACAGCTCCAGTCAGGGAAGCTGCTAGAGCTGGATGGTTGGCCTCAGCAGCAGACAACCCACAGCCAGGGGCAGCAGACGCCAGTCCCTTCTCCAGCGCTGCAGGCAGAGGAGACCTTGGTAGAATCAAAAAGGACTATTCATTAGCTCACATGAATTTCTGTCAGAGGTTCCAAAGACTTTTGAGGGCAGACTTTTGAGGATTCAGCCTATCATAATTACTGTGATTCTATTTTAACTCAGACTGGTAAAACCTTGATTAATACTTGCTAGAGAAGAGCGTCAGAAAGGCATCATGGGGTGGTGGGAATTGCACCAGGTGTGGGTCAACCCATTTAGGGAGACTCTTGCGGCCCTCCTTACTGTGTGCCAGCCACTGCTCCAAGAGAGTGTTTGATGAGTGTTTATGCATTTAATTCTCACAGCAAGTCTGTTAGTATCCCAATCTTACACATGAGAAAATAGAACCATAGAGAAGTTCACTAATTTGCCCAACTCACTCAGCTTATAAGTGGTATACCTGGGACCTAAAGCAGAAAGTCTAACTCTAACGGTTGTCCTCTTACCAACTGACACTCATCACGCCTGACATAAAGAAGGTGCTCATTAAATGTTTCCTGATTCAAATAATTTTAGCATGGGATTAAAAATGTCCTGGGTTTAATGTTCTGGACTTAGTAAACTGACTACACTTAAAAGCAAACAGAAAAATGCTTATAAGTATACCAAAATGAAATAAAATCTCACATGATCAGAACATGATACAATAGTTTTTAAAATTTCCTGATTAACCAAGGAAAATTACTTCATGCTTTCAATGTTTTCTCATCCCATAAGGAAAATATATTTCTAGGAGGCTTGGTGGCCCACACCAAGCCATGGAGCTGACAAGTAAATTAGTCTGTGCTAGATGCTGGGTCTCCCAATTGTTTTTGTAGCTCTTCCCCCAGTAACATATTACTGCATGGGCTTGGGAGAAGGGATTGTGCTAACCCAGGATCCTCCTTGGAGACTGATTAACCAGAATGACAAGATCTCAAGGATTGTACTTCTTTGATCTTCCTCTCATCTAGTTGCCAGACAGAGAACAATTCTGACTGAATACATTATTTAATTATTTTAGTCATATTGAGAATCAACCATTAACCACTAAAAAGGAGAAAAAAGGACAAAACACAATGTATAACCATCCTGATTTCCAACTCAAAGTGGCGCCCCCACACACACCTCTGAACAAGGCAATTACATAGAAACAATAAAGAACAATTAAATAAATCAGGAAAACCACCAGCCTATTCTCCAGGTTCACTTACCTTGGTGCGAACGACGATTGGCAATGGCAGTAAAACCAAGAGAGTAAAAACTATAAGGAGAAACCGGCGATAAACTAAAATATAAGTAAGGACTTTCATCGTCCTGAGTAGGAGACTTTGAAAGTACTCTCCTCAAAATAAGGCAGATGTTAAATAACCAATGTGGATTAATATTTCTCCAGCCCATCATCATCATTTACTGACCCAGACTGATCAACATGAGTTAAAATTAAATCTTGATTTTTATTGTTTTACTGTCACAATTAACGTGGAGAGATAAGCCCAAGAGTGTTTGCAAGAAATTACTTGCCAATTGCTACCGTAGCTTTTGAAAGATACTGCAGTTCTTTCCCTATTTAATTTGTTCACATTAACTAGAATATTGACTGGCCATATCTAGCAGAAGGGAAAATTGTGAGGTTCATTGAGTTTGCCCACAGTGAGGCCCCTCTGCCCCTTCTGACGTCCCCTGACTTCTGGGCTCTACACTTCGGTGGTGCCTCAGGCAATCTCTACTGGATGCCTCCAATGCCCTTCCTAAGAAAGTGCATTTTCAGTGTGTGAATTGAAATAGCAATTCCAATAATAGGAATTTCAGTGTATGGACGTGTGAAAGGTAAGGGTTTTGGTACAGATGGATTCTTCTAGGGCTTCTCAGATAATGTGTTGAGGTAGCCCTCTACACCGCCTACATGAAGTTTGGCTCAGAGAAGAGCCCCTGACCTCTCTCATTCAGGAATTCTTTGCACTCATTCAAAAGATAAATACTACTTCTGATGTCAAGCATCATTTTCCTCCTAAGTACCACATTCAGTTGAAAATGGTTTATCTACTGTTTAAAAGCAAAGTTCTGTGTGTTTCTGGAACCCTGTAGTTTATTTTGATAGAAAACCAAAAATTATCATAAAGCCTTATGTAAGCGCTCCCCTGTTCCACTCTTTCAGGACTGAGTTGATATTATTGTGCTGACATTGACTAGATAATCAACAGGGAATCTGCACAGAGATGAGTCACTGGGGCCATCTAAGGGGGGTGTGTGTGTGGGGGGGTGGGTGTGTGTGTATCTGTGTGTAAGCACATGTGTGAAGATGGGTACGATTCTAACAGTGATATGGAGGATGTATTTTAATATTGCTCAGCACTAAAGACTCTGGTTTGTTTCTCATTACTTCGTAAATTAATAACCCAATATGCTTCAACTAAACAACTACTAAGTACCTAGCCCTAGGTATAAACAGAACACATTTCTTTCTATAATTTATAGTCAATTTCTCTTGGTATAAATACCCTTACTTTGATGTGATCTATTGTTAGCATTTAGACTTTATTTCTAATTCCACTCTAATGTAACTCTGCTTTCTTTTCCTATAAAAGAAGATAATTCTTTCACCAACACACTGTATTATTAATGTAGATGAGAAAGCATTTTTTTTTCCTTCTAAATGTCTAAATTTCTAAAGATACATCACAGATAGTGACTCGGGAAAATCAGGAGAGTAAGCAGAAAGAAAAGTCTCCAAACCAGAAAGGCACATTACATCTTGAATTTGTTAGGTTAAAAAAAAGAGAGGGTAATTACAAACAATAGTAATGAATAGTGAGCAATAATAATAAAAAGTATTAAAAAAACACATTAATACAGTGTGATTACAAACAGGAAAGCTTAATATCGTTAAGGTATGCTTCTCCCCGAACTTAATCTACAGATTCAACACAATACCAGTTAATCCCAACAGGGGTGTGTGTGTGTGTGTGTGTGTGTGTGTTTGTGTAAGTTGACAAAGTGCTTCTAAAAAGTATGTGGAAGAGCAAAGGACCAAGAATGGTCCACACAACCTTGAAGAACAAAATCAGGACTTCCATTACCAGATTTCAAGACTTACTACAAAAAGTCACTAATTGGGGCATTTTGGTATTGGCCCAAAGAAAGACAAATAAACCAATGAAACAGAAGAGAGACTATAGAAACTGACCTACACATTCAGGCACCCAAGCAATTCAGGCAAGAAATGATGATTTTCTCAATAAATGGTACTGGAGTAATAGGATATCAACGTGGGGGGAGAGGACCAGTGACCTCCTATCTCATATTATACATAAACTTTAATCTGAGATGGGAAATTATGAAAGCAAAAACACTAAGGCTTCTAGAAGAAAACGTACAAGAAATTCTTCATAACTTTGGCAAAATTTCTGAAATTTGACCCAATGGGCACTAACTAAAAATATAAACCAGTGGTACATTGGACTTCAATTAAATAAAGAATTTCTGTCCATCAGATGACTTCATTTAAAGAATGACAAACACATCACAGAATAGGAGGCAATATTTACAAGGTATGTGTCCGACAAAGGACCTGTGTCACAAATATTTATGGGATATCTACAAGTCAATCTTAAAAAGACAGAGTATGAGATTTAAGAAGTGGAGAAATGCCTTTAACAGCCCTTTCCCAAAAGAGGATCTCAAGCTGGCCAATAAGCACATGGAAGTGTGTGGAACGTAATTACTTCTCAGGAATATAAAACTTCAAAGAGATACCACAACTCCTCCACCAGAAAGCCTAAAATGAAAAAGAATAAATCTATCAAGGAAATATTACTGAGGGTGTGGTACAACAGGAACTCTCATACTTTGTTAATGAGGGTGTAAATGCACAACCTGGGTGGCCTGGTCAGTTAAGTGCCAGACTGTTGGTTTTGGCTCAGGTCATGATCTCAGGGTGGTGGGATGAAGCCTTGCATTGGTCTCCACACTCAACTCGGAGTCTGTTTGAGGTTTCTCTCTCTCCCTCTGCCACTTCCCTACTTAAATAAATAAATAAATCTTTTCTGAACACACACACACACACACACACATTAAACAAACAGAGTTACTCAAAACTGTTTCAATAGTTCTTTCTTTCAACACCCTGTACAGTTCATTGCATGATTTTTTTTTTTTTAAACTACTTCTGTTCTTAAATTTCGTTAGGCCGCCTGGTGAGACCATTTGAGTCTCACTTTCTTATCTTAGAGGATTTTACTTTATGAGATGACACCCAAAGTGAAAAGGCATTTGTGTGACATTTAACAGAAATGAGGGAGCAGTGGCACTCAAACCAGACAGAGACTAAAGGGAAAACTCTTGACATTTGTTGGTGCCTCCTTTCTTTGCTCTATTTTCACGGTTCTGGTACTTTTCTCGCCAGAGGACCCTCCTATTGTGGCCCAAGGCTCTAGCCAGCTCAGTCTTCTATGGGTGCCCCTTACTACAAAATGGGCCCACCTTTCCTTTATGTCCAGCCAATCTCTTGTTTCTCTGTCACATAGAGCAGAGACCTGATAGGCTACTACACGCTAAGCATGAACAGCTGATGTGAGCTGCATACCTCTCCAAGGGTCACCAGAGAATGAAACTCTCAATGGGAGATTTTGGGCCCCTTAGAAACATATCTTAGGGTGTCCTTCAAATCACAGCATACTGTTAACCAGGTCTACAATTGTCAGAGTGCACCTCTTCTTGCTACAGAAAAACATAAATCTCTCTTACTGCTCTCTCACAGCTGTGCTATGTTTGACATATTTGACCTAAAATGAATTATACCAATGCACAATCATGGGTTAACTCACTTAAAACACGTCCTTTATAAATATAAAAGTGTTAGAAACATTAGTCATTCATTCACAGTTATTCACCATGTGCCAGGGAGTTTACGCCACCACCACATTTAAGCTTCAAAACCCAATACGAGGTATTGGTATTATAGGTATTATAATTACTTCTCTTCTATAGATTTGGAAACTAAAATTCAAAGAGGCCAAGTAAAATGTCCCAGGTACTACATGATATAATAATGATGCAAACCCAGTTCTTTCTGGTTCTTTCTTTATTTCAAACTTGGTGTAGAATGTGTTGCTGGTCCTATTGGGCTGCTTTCTGTCCTGTCTCCTAACCCTCTCATTTTAATTGGACACTTTTTGCTGTGGCAATCTATGCCACATATTTCTGCTTTAAATCAGAACCTTCGATTACAAAACCCCGAGCCATTCTCAGTAGTGGTGCTGTATTGTACAAAGCATGTTCTGTAATATTTCCTCTGATTTACTCGGAAATTAAGTACCTGGTCCATTAAACTTACAGGGGAACCATTAATGAACAAATATTTGGAACTCACCAAGTCCTAAGAGACTTTTGGAAGAGGATATACATAGCATAGAACTATCCCACTTCTAAAGTGGAAACTCTTGGACCAAGATTGGGGTTAATTCATTTTTGAAGTTATCTGTTATCTTTCTGGTTCCTAAGGCAATGATTTTTTTTTTTTGTACTATGCCATATGTCTGCCATAATGACTATGAATATGACACTAAACACTAAATCATCAGATCTAGAATTTTTATATACACACGTGAATTGGTTGGCTTAGAAATTGAAGCTCTAGGGTTTGCTTTTTTATGTTCCTTGAGCCTTATGATTGAACATAATGTGAAATTTGGGTCCAAGCATAAGCATAAAGAAAAAGAAAGCTTCCTTCTGTATGTACTCTGAGTACCTTCATAAAGAAGTTAAACTGTCCAGGTTAAGTCAATTATGTAGACAATCAACACCAGCTTTTATGTGGCTCTCCACATGCTTCTCTCAGCCTTGTTTTCTGGATATCTCTTTCTTATGCCATGTTTGCTCCCAAATTTGTACTTTTCTTTCGGCCTTTCCCTCTTCCAAGAATATGCTTCCCTTCTCTATATTTAAATCCCACCAATCCTTGAAGTGTGACTTGTAGACTCATCTCAAATCTGTTGTCTTCTTTAGATCCATCCTGACAATTCCTGTCTTTCCAGACACCTACCCAAGAGTCTCACTGAGCCAAATACATCCAAATAATCTGGAGTGCTGGGTGAAGGTACAGATTCCCTGACCTGTTGGGTCAAAACAAGGCTTCATGTTTAGTTGGCTCCCTATGTAGTTTTCATATATACTAATATTTAAGAATCATTGGCTTGGTATTTGTAAGATACAGTCAGCCTGGAGTAAACTGACTAACACTAATTATAATTTCAATAATACATGTCAATCTTAAATCTTCAGTAAGACTACAAACTCTCTGACTATAGGGGACATTATTTAC